ATAAAATAAAAATAATATATAAAAATAAAATCTAATAAAAATATTAAAAAAATAATTTTTTAAATAATTAATTAAATCGATCGATTGAACCAATTAAATCGATTAAGTCAGATCAAAACATGTGAATCATTAAATCGTAAAACATTGGTTTTACCATTTATCAAAATAAAATGATTGACACACCTAACTCTTCAGGTCAAGTGGCTTTCGAACTCACTTTGAAGGTGCAGTCCTCTTCTTTGGTGACTTCGAATTTTGGTGACTTCGAATTTCAAATTGCACCCTTACTTTGTTAAAAAAAGAAAAAAAAAAAATCGAAACGACTGACATTCGATAACAGTTCAGTCGTTTACCGACGTACCCCATCCCACGGAATGGAACTCGAAACCTCCAATGCGACGACGTCGTTCTAATTAAAGATGAGACGAAAATCCCCAGCTGCACTGAAGTGAACAAGAACCAGTGCTTCGAAATCTGCACACCACATATCGCGAATGGCGCTCTCGTCGTCGGCACCGTCACAGAAAGGAATAGTCATCACAGTTCCGATGCTAGTGCTCTCCGTCTCCGTCGCAGCCATTTTCTTCTTCTTCCTCTTCTCTTCTCTCTCCTCCCCCTCCACGCCCTGCTTTTGCCCCACCCCTCCGAATTCTCCCTCCACCACCACCGTTTCAGTTCCTGGAATCGGCGTGGCGAGCGGCGGCGCTGGATTGGCCGGAAATCCGGCGATTTCGCCTTCCAGTGAGGATATAGAGTGGGTGAAGGATCAGATCCGAGTGAATGGTTTGCATATGCAGGAGAATGTGCTCCGTAAGGGCATTAACCCTCGCACGCGTGCTCAGCAACTGGAAGATCTGAATAAGTAAGTTCAGATTAAATGTTTTTTTTTTTTTTTTTCTTACAGATTTTGACGCAATTTGTTCTGTTTTTTTGTGAGAATTGGTCTGATTGAATTGGAGTCTGCATATCAATTGCTTTATTTTCTTTATAGTTTTTAAAACAATGATGAAATAAACCAAATTTTCCTGTTTATCTTCTTAATTGTTTAGCTTTTAGGCTAATTCATATATAGTAAATGTAGATGATGTATTGAAGCTGTTCTAGGGATTGGAAACTGGAAATGTAATGGGATATTTGTAACTATTTCCACCTTGGAAGTACAGTTTTTCGGCTCATCTTCTTCTGATTGTCATTCTGCCTTTTTTAAAAGGCCACTCTTTTGGTTAGATTTTTGATAGGAGAACATGAACTTTCTCAGCAGTTAATATGTTTAGCCTTTTGTCTTTTGTTTTGAAGGGTGATGATGCGATACATGTGGGGTTTTCGGAATCTCCTCTTCCTTTTTTCCTCTTAGCCTTATAACTTACTACACTAGCCAATTAGTATTTTGCCTCTTGGAAATGTTTCTTTGCCCATTCACCAATCATTTTCTTTCCTTCCTCTTTTCTGTGTGTTTGTTTGGAAGTTTTTTTTTTTGGTACATCAGGTGGTTACCCTCTTGGCATGGCAGAGTTTTGAACTCATGATTTAGACCTCAACTCGGAAAAAGCTCTTGTTGGTGTTTGTTTGGAATTTGTGCACACTGCCATTAATTACTTTGTTTTGGTTTCTCCATGCGTGTATTGATTTTTCGTTTTCAAGATTATGATTGATCTTCTTGCAAATTTCAGTTTTAAAGGCATATCACACTATGAAGGATCTGAGGCAAACAACCACACAGTGCTCCCATGCCCGGGTGAGCTCCTTGTTGAAGAGCACCACAGCAACTATGGGGAGCCTTGGGCAGGGGGCAGAGATGTGTTTGAGTTCCTTGCCGAGTCTGTCCACCTAACACCTGAGTCACGGGTTCTTGAAATTGGGTGTGGAACACTCCGTGTTGGTTTGCATTTTATTCGCTATCTCAATCCTGAGCATTATTATTGTCTTGAGAGAGATGAGCTCTCTCTCATGGCTGCATTTCGTTATGAGCTTCCTTCCCAAGGGCTCCTATCTAAGCGCCCTCTAATTGTCCGAGGTGAGGACATGGATTTCACTAGGTTTGGTTCAGGGGTTGTGTATGACCTGATATATGCTAGTGCTGTCTTTCTTCATATGCCTGATCAACTTGTGTGGGTTGGACTGGAGAGGTTGGCAAATAAGTTGAAACCTTATGATGGGCGCATATTTGTTTCCCATAACATAAAGTTCTGTTCACGATTGGGTGGGGAGGAATGCACGAAGAGACTTAAAAGTTTAGGGCTCGAGCATCTTGGAAAGCATACTCATGACAGCTTACTGTTCAATCACTATGAGATTTGGTTTGAGTTTAGGCGGTCTAAAGCTTAGGTGTTTGTGTATTCTGGTAGACTTATTGGACTCAGTATTTGCAATTCAGAAGCATGAAGCTGCTAAGCACTCAGTAAGATCACCTGTGACGCATTGAACCGTTCCTTAACATTTTTGTAAGTTCAATCTTCAAGTTCCCCACTGATTCAGAAACTGTCATTTTACAGATATTTATCTCAAAGGATCATTCTATATATCTATATATTAAGTGTGTCAGGATCTTGTATTCTTTTCCTATACAAGAGGAACGTCTGTAACTTTATTGTAGATCAGCTGATGTTGCAGTCAAAATCAAGCAACAAAGTTCTATACATTTTTTTTTTTTGGCTGTGAAATTGTGTAGTAGCTAGTTGGAAATTTGAGACACTAGTTATGAGCATTCTTTTGTAGCTGAATTCTGTTGTTAACTTGTTGCTGCTTGAAACTGTAATGTTAATGCTTCATTCTTTACTACACCGAGAAATACATGAATTGATTTTGTTATTTCTGCAGTCTGGTCATTGTACATGTCAATGGTCTTTTCTCAAACTTAATTGCAATCTGCTGGCAAAAGGTATTTGATCATTTGTGTCCTGGCATTGTTGAGATTCTTATGGTTGATTTGCCTTTCTGAATTCCTCCTTTTTTTCTTGGTGCTTGAGGAGATTTCAGGCATTTGCCAGAGATTAAACCAGGGGATTAAGCCGTTGACATTTTATGCTGTTCTCCTGAGTTACTTTGAAGGCGTGAATCTCTGTTTTGACTCCAAATTCCAGGGTTATATTAGAACTTCCAAAATCCTAGTTTCTTATGTTCTCATGTTCGACTTTAGTCTCTCTTAACCTATTCTCATATTTTGCATATCAATAACGAAAGTGAGATTAGAGTCAAAGATGAGGAGAATAGAAGAATGGGAGCAGCAATATCAATTCATAAAAAAATGAAACCTAATATAAACTAAATGGTAAGAAAAATAACAATGAAATCCCTAATATGAAAAGGAAAATTAAGATCTCTTAAAATTAAAATATCAGATAAATTTGATGCTTTAACTTGACTCAAATCAAAATTTTAAAATTATGGATTTGAATTTAAGAAATGGTATTTCACAGTGACTTTTTATTATAAAAACTTTTTTAGTAAAACCTTATAAGCATAAGGTTAGCCTTTATCCAAAATGGCCTCCATGATTTAATTACAAAATAAATTATACATTAAAAGA